TTCTTTCAAAAATAAAACACCAAGGGTCTCAAGATCCTTTTAAGCTTTTAAAAAACAGCAGGGGTTTCCAAAATTTTGTCAAATTTTTCCAAAAAACCAAATACTAAGGGCCATAAGAATCTTCCAAATTTTTCCAAAAATAAGCATCAGGACCCCTAAGATAATACCAGGGTCTTCGAATATTTTTTCAACTCTTGTTCAAATTCTTTCAAAAATAAAACACCAAGGGTCTCAAGATCCTTTTAAGCTTTTAAAAAGCAGCAGGGGTTTCCAAAATTTTGTCAAATTTTTCCGAAAAGCCAAATACCAAGGGCCATAAGAATCTTCCAAATTTTTCCAAAAATAAGTATCAGGGCCCCCAAGATTCTTACAAATTCCCTCAAAAATAAGAGCTCGAAAATTCCTTCCAAATCTTTCAAAAATAGAACTCAGAGGTTTCAAGAATTTGTTAAATTTTTCAGAAAAAACAAACAGAGAGACCCTAATAATCTTTATAATTTTTCCAAAAACGCAACATTTGGAACCTCCAAGATTCTTTCAAATTCTTTCAAAAATTAACCATCACGGGCCTCAAGATTCTTTCAAATTCTCTCAAAAATAAAACATCAAGGGCTCAAAGATTCCTTCAAAATATTTCAAAAATAGAACTCACAGGTTCCAAGATTCGTTTAAATTTTTCAATAAAACACCAGGGGTACCCAAGATTTTGCATTTTTTTTTTTTAATTAATTTTTTGTTAAAGATAATACCAGGGTCTTCGAATATTTTTTCAATTCTTGTTCAAGTTCTTTCAAAAATAAAACACCAAGGGTCTCAAGATCCTTTTAAGCTTTTAAAAAACAGCAGGGGTTTCCAAAATTTTGTCAAATTTTTCCAAAAAACCAAATACTAAGGGCCATAAGAATCTTCCAAATTTTTCCAAAAATAAGCATCAGGACCCCTAAGATTCTTACAAATTCCCTAAAAAATCAGAGCTCGAAAATTCCTTCAAAATCTTTCAAAAATAGAACTCAGAGGTTTCAAGAATTTGTTAAATTTTCCAGAAAAAACAAATAGAGAGACCCTAATAATCTTTATAATTTTTCCAGAAACGAAACATTTGGAACCTCCAAGAATCTTTCAAATTCTTTAAAAAATTAACCATCACGGGCCTCAAGATTCTTTCAAATTCTCTCAAAAATAAAACACCAAGGGCTCAAAGATTCCTTCAAAATATTTCTATTTCCAAAATAGAACTCACAGGTTCCAAGATTCGTTTAAATTTTTCAATAAAACACCAGGGGTACCCAAGATTTTGCATTTTTTTAAATTATTTTTTTGTTAAAGATAATACCAGGGTCTTCAAATATTTTTTCAACTCTTGTTCAAATTCTTTCAAAAATAAAACACCAAGGGTCTCAAGATCCTTTTAAGCTTTTAAAAAACAGCAGGGGTTTCCAAAATTTTGTCAAATTTTTCCGAAAAGCCAAATACTAAGGGCCATAAGAATCTTCCAAATTTTTCCAAAAATAAGCATCAGGGCCCCCAAGATTCTTACAAATTCCCTCAAAAATAAGAGCTCGAAAATTCCTTTAAAATCTTTCAAAAATAGAACTCAGAGGTTTTAAGAATTTGTTAAATTTTCCAGAAAAAACAAATAGAGAGATCCTAATACTTTATAATTTTTCCAAAAACGAAACATTTAGAACCTCTAAGATTTTTTCAAATTCCTTCAAAAATTAACTATCATGGGCCTCAAGATTCTTTCCAGTTCTCTCAAAAATAAAGCACCAAGGCTCCGACAATCTTTCAAACCTTTCTACAATACAACATAGAGGTCCAAAGATTATTTTAAACTCTTCAAAAAAACACCAGGAGCACCCAAGATTTTGCCAAATTTTTCCGAGGAACCAAATGCTAGGAGCCATAAGAATCTTTAAAATTTTTCCAAAAATAAGTGTATCAGAGAGCCCGAAATTCTTTCAAATTCTTTTTAAAATAGAACACCGAAAGCCCAAGTCTTTTAAACTCTTAAAACAAGACTTCCAAGATTCTTTCAATAGTAAAACACCGAGAGCCCCAAGTTTCAATTTTTTTTAAACACTAAACATCAGAGGCCTCTAAGATTCTTTGAAAAATAAAACACCAAGGCTCCGACAATCTTTCAAAACCTTTCTACAATACAACATAGGGGTCCAAATATTCTTTTAAACTCTTCAAAAAAACACCAGGAGCACCCAAGATTTTATCAAATTTTTACGAAAAACCAAATACTAAGAACCCTAAGAATCTTTACAGCTATCCAAGAACGAAACATTTGAACTTCCAAGATTCCTTTAAATTCTTTCAAAAATTAACCATCACGGGCCTCAAGATTCTTTCCAATTTTTTCAAAAATAAAACACCAAGGGCGGCGAAGATTCTTTTAAACTTTTCAAAAAACAAGAGAGATACCTAAGATTCCTTCATAAAGATAATACCACGCACGGACTTTCAATATTTTTTCAACACTTGGAAACAGATACACAAAGACGCTTTCAAATTCTTTCAAAAATAAAACACCACGGGTTTCAAGATTCTTTTAAACTCTTAACAAAGACACCTGGGGTACACAAGATTTTGTCAAATTTTTCTAGAAACCAAACAGCCACTATAACGCTAGCAATCTTTAAAAAAAACACTAAAGTCTCGGAAATTCCTTCAAAATTTTAAAAAATAGAACACCGAGATCCCGAGATTTTTGAAAGTCTTCAAAAAAAAGCAGTAAGGATACCCAAGATTTTATTCTTTTTTTTTCAGAAACTAAATACGAAGGATGTCCAAGATTCTTTTAAAAAGATAACACCAGGGACTTCCAAGATTTTTTTTTACTATTGGAAAAGGCACTCAAAAATGCTTCCAAATTCTTTCAAAAATAAAACAACAAAGCTTTCAATATCTTTTTAAACTATTAAAAAAACATTAGGCGTCCCCAATACTTTGTCAAATTTTGGAAAAAAAAATATAATAGAGATACTACGCATCTTTAAAATTTTTCCAAAAACAACTCACCCGGATCTCTCAAGATTCTTTCAAAAATTAAGCGGCGCTAAGATTTATTCAATTTTTTTTTTTAATAAAATACCAAGGGCTCGAAGATTTCTTCAAAATCTTTCAAAAATAGAACTCGCCACCCTACACCAAGAATCTCCAAGATTTTGCAATTTATTTTTCAAAAATTCTTTGAAATTTGATAGTGTTAACTTTTTTTAGTGTTTTCTAATATCTTTTTAAACTCTTGTAAAAGAATCTAAAAAATGCTTTCAAGATCTTTCGAAATAGAACTCAGAACTCCCAAGATTCTTTCAAACTTTTCAAAAAAACACCAGGGATACCCAAGATTTTGCATTTTTTTTTAAGTTACACACAGGATCTCCAAAATTCTTTGATAAAGATAATGCCAGACTTCCAATACTTTTTCAACTCTTCTAAAAGGCACTAAAAGATACTTTCAAATTCTTCCAAAAATAAAACACCAAGGGTCTCAAGATCCTTCTCATAGGAGAGACCCTAAGAATCTTTATATTTTTTCCAAAAACGAAACATCTGGAACCTCCAAGATTCTTTCAAATTCTTTTTAAAATAGAACACCGGAAGCCCAAGTCTTTTAACCTCTTAAAACAAGACTTCCAAGATTCTTTCAATAATAAAACCCCGAGAGCCCCAAGATTCAATTTTTTTAGACACTAAACACCAGAGGCCTCTAAGATTCTTTCAAAAATAAAACACCAGGATCCCCAAGACCCTTTTAAATTCTATAAAAACCACCAGAGACATCCAACAGTTCTTCAAATACTAAACCCTTGAAATCTTCAACATTCTTTCAAATTCTTCCAAAAATGGAACACCAGAACTCCAACATTTTTTTTAACTCTTCAAAAAACTCCAGGAATATCATTCTTCTAAACTCTTTTTTTCAAATTTCTTCGAAAAAATGAACACTAGGGAGCCTAAAAATCGTCCAAATTTTTCCAAAAACAAAACACCTAGAAGCACCAAGATTCTTTCAAATTATTTCCAAAATAGAATACCAGAGACTCAGCGATTTTTTTAAATTCTTTCAGAAACAAAACACTAAGAGTCCCAAGATATTTTTCTTTTCTTAAATACTGTATACGAACAACCCAAGATTATTTAACTTTTTAAAATAATAGAACACCAGAGATTCCAAAATTCTTTCAAAACAGCAGGGGTACCAAAATTGTTTTAAACTTTAGCAAAAAAAAACAGCAAGGAGTCTCAAGATTTTTTTATTTTTTTTCTCAGAAACTGAATACAAAAATACACTGGAAAATTCTTTTAAATTTTTCCAAAAGCGAAACACCTGGAAATTCTAAATTCTTTCAAATTATTAAAAAATAAAACACCGCTTGCTTCTTTCATAAAAAAGAGATGAGCACCCAAAATTTTCTTACAAATTCTTCAAAAAATGCGCAAGTCCTATAATTTGTCTAAGAAATCGGTAAATTTAATTAGTCTACAAAAATTAAAATATTTAGAAAAAAATCTCGTTGGTAACGTATTCTCTACATTTTCATTTAAAGCAGAGTTTTCCCACTCAAACTGATCATAACGCGTGAACGTAGTAAGCAAATGTTATCTAAAACAGCTTTGTCTAAAAGCGGTTTCTAGAACGAACTTGAGGTGCATTATATTGTTGATAACTGCACCACTTTATCTCCCTTTTGTGCATAACTCGCATTCCGACCATCACTTTCACCAAAATTTTTGTAAAATTAGAACCTTTCCAAAATTCTTTTCCGGAAATTCAGCATCAACCAGCTGCACAAATTTCTCCACGAAAACAACACAAGCCAGCGATAACCACAGCGCTCAGAATCAAAAGATTAACGAAAACATTATTATCAGTTCCGAGAAAGCTTCCAAAAATAAATATTCGTTATTATTAACTCTAATCCGTTTTTCTTTGTCGCCCGTGGCGAAAGAAAAAATCAACACAATACGTCTCGGCAAGCACTCACCTGAAAATCCCTTGAGCGAAAAACTGAGATGAACGAAAACCGCGTGTTGTTACGCACAAACCAGAGATGAGCACGTTGTGTCGACAACGCGAGTCAGCACAGAACTAATAGTAGCTGTAATAGCAATACAGAATGGAGGGCTCCTGATGCCTCTGTCAGAGGGGGTGAGTGCTGAACGTTTCAGCCATTGTTGGGTGTTTCTGGACATAAAGCTCAGGTAGATAAATGAATGTGTGGACTGGCTAGGTACGGCTACCTGCAGGAGGACGCCTGAAAGGGGTCGCTTTTAAAATTCTATTCAGAAATGTATTTGTGCGTGCTGGAACTTAAAATTAGGTATTCGGGTGCTTGAATATTTTACGGCGCACAAAATCATAATTTTAAACCAATTTAGAGAGGCTGAATTATTTTCGAAGTTTAATGTCAAGTCAAATGCACCACGAATTGTATTGTGGAATTAATTATGAAAATGAAATTAAATGTGTAGTTTCGTTGTAAAAATTATTGTGATTGCCGAACGCAATTCGTTGATCTTCGGAGCAACGTGGTCATTGACCACTGTTTTACTCCCACTCAATCAACATAATAATAATAATTGGTCGAACGTTATTTCGACTTCCCTCGCCCTTGAACTGCGGTCCAATAAATTCTACTTTTTTTTTAAATTATGAAATTTGTTTTTCAGAAATTTTACTTTTGCGTGATAACCTCTAAGGAGTAAAAATAATACAGAAAGTACTAGTCACAGTGTAAAAGAAAAAAAAGGTTTCGTCTTCTTAAAAAAAGAGAGTTAGGTTTCACATTCTTTAAAAGACACTTGGGATCCCCGAGAAGGTTTCACTTTTTTTTTCAAAAAATACACTTAGGGCCCCGGAGAGGGTTTCAACTTTTTTTAAAAAATACAGTTAGGGCGCCCGAGAAGGTTACAAGTTTTTAAAAAATGGACACAGAGAATGTTTCACCTTTAAAAAAAAAAAAGGACAGACTTGGGAACCCTGAGAAAGTTTCACATTAATTATTAAAAAAACTGTTGGAACCCCCGAGAAGGTTTTACATTATCAAAAAAAAAACCCGCTGAGATCCCCGAGCAGGTTTCAACTTAAAAAAAAGACAAATTTGGGAACCCTGAGAAGGTTTCACATTATTAAAAAAAAAATAAACAAATTTGGTAACCCTGAGAAGGTTTCACATTATTAGAAAAAACAGTTGGGACCCCCGAGAAGGTTTCACATTCTTTCAAAAAAATACACTTGGAGCGCCCGAGAAGGTTTCACATTATCAAAAAAAAAAACCGGTGAGATCCCCGAGAAGGTTTCAACTTAAAAAAAAAGACAAATTTGGGAACCCTGAGAAGGTTGCACATTATTAGAAAAAACAGTTGGAACCCTCGAGAAGGTTTCACATTCTCAAAAAAAAACCGGTGGGATCCTCCAGAAGGTTGCAATTTAAAAAAGAAATGACAAATTTGGGAATCCTGAGAAGGTTTCGCATTTTAAAAAAAACCAATTGGGGATCCCGAGAAGGTTTCACATTATAAAAAAGAAACCGGTGAGATCCCCGAGAAGGTTTCAACTTAAAGAAAAAAGACAAACTTGGCAACCCTGAGAAGGTTTCACATTATTAGAAAAAACAGTTGGAACCCCCGAGAAGGTTTCACATTATCAAAAAAAAAACCGGTGGGATCCTCCAGAAGGTTGCAACTTAAAAAAAAAGACAAATTTGGGAACCCTGAGAAGGTTTCTCATTATTAAAAAAAACCAATTGTCGATCCCGAGAAGGTTTCACATTATCAAAAAAAAAACCTGTGGGATCCCCGAGAAGGTTTCAACTTAAAAAAAAGACAAATTTGGCAATCCTGAGAATGTTTCACGTTTAAAAAAGAAACCAATTGGAACCCCCGGAGAAGGTTTCACATTATCAAAAAAAAAACCGGTGGGATCCCCGAGAAGGTTTCAACTTAAAAAAAAAGACAAATTTGGTAACCCTGAGAAGATTTCACATTATTAAAAAAAACCAATTGGGGATCCCGAGGTTTCACATTCTCAAAAAAAACCGGTGGGATCCCCGAGAAGGTTTCAACTTAAAAAAAAAGACAAATTTGGGAACGCTGAGAAGGTTTCACGTTATTAAAAAAACCAATTGGGGATCCAGAGAAGGTTTCACATTATCAAAAAAAAACCGGTGGGATCCCCGAGAAGGTTTCAACTTAAAAAAAAAAGACAAATTTGTTAACCCTGAGAAGGTTTCACATTATTAAAAAAAACCAATTGGGGATCTCGAGGTTTCACATTATCAAAAAAAACCGGTGGGATCCCCGAGAAGGTTTCAACTTAAAAAAAAGACAAATTTGACAACCCTGAGAAGGTTTCACATTATTAGAAAAAACAGTTGGAACCCCCGAGAAGGTTTCACATTATTAAAAAAAAAAACTGGTGGGATCCCCGAGAAGGTTTCAACTTAAAAAAAAAAAGACAAATTTGGGAACGCTGAGAAGGTTTCACATTATTAAAAAAAACAATTGGGGATCCAGAGAAGGTTTCACATTATCAAAAAAAAACCGGTGGGATCCCGAGAAGGTTTCAACTTAAAAAAAAAAAGAAAAGTTTGGCAACCCTGAGAAGGTTTCACATTATTAAAAAAACAGTTAGAACCCCAGAGAAGGTTTCACATTATCAAAAATAAACCGGTGGGATCCCCGAGAAGGTTTCAACTTAAAAAAAAAGACAAATTTGGGAACCCTGAGAAGGTTTCACATTATTAAAAAAACCAATCGGGGATCCCGAGAAGGTTTCACATTATCAATAAAAAAACCGGTGGGATCCCCGAGAAGGTTTCAACTTAAAAAAAAGACAAATTTGGTAACCCTGAGAAGATTTCACATTATCAAAAAAAACCGGTGGGATCCCCGAGAAGGTTTCAACTTAAAAAATAGACAAATTTGGGAACCCTGAGAAGGTTTCACATTATTAAAAAAAAATAAACAAATTTGGTAACCCTGAGAAGGTTTCACATTATTAGAAAAAACAGTTGGGACCCCCGAGAAGGTTTCACATTCTTTCAAAAAAATACACTTGGAGCGCCCGAGAAGGTTTCACATTATCAAAAAAAAAACCGGTGAGATCCCCGAGAAGGTTTCAACTTAAAAAAAAAGACAAATTTGGGAACCCTGAGAAGGTTGCACATTATTAGAAAAAACAGTTGGAACCCTCGAGAAGGTTGCACATTATCAAAAAAAAACCGGTGGGATCCTCCAGAAGGTTGCAATTTAAAAAAGAAATGACAAATTTGGGAATCCTGAGAAGGTTTCGCATTTTAAAAAAAACCAATTGGGGATCCCGAGAAGGTTTCACATTATAAAAAAGAAACCGGTGAGATCCCCGAGAAGGTTTCAACTTAAAGAAAAAAGACAAACTTGGCAACCCTGAGAAGGTTTCACATTATTAGAAAAAACAGTTGGAACCCCCGAGAAGGTTTCACATTATCAAAAAAAAACCGGTGGGATCCTCCAGAAGGTTGCAACTTAAAAAAAAAGACAAATTTGGGAACCCTGAGAAGGTTTCTCATTATTAAAAAAAACCAATTGTCGATCCCGAGAAGGTTTCACATTATCAAAAAAAAAACCTGTGGGATCCCCGAGAAGGTTTCAACTTAAAAAAAAGACAAATTTGGCAATCCTGAGAATGTTTCACGTTTAAAAAAGAAACCAATTGGAACCCCCGGAGAAGGTTTCACATTATCAAAAAAAACCAATTGTCGATCCCGAGAAGGTTTCACATTATCAAAAAAAAAACCTGTGGGATCCCCGAGAAGGTTTCAACTTAAAAAAAAAGACAAATTTGGCAACCCTGAGAAGGTTTCACATTATTAGAAAAAACAGTTGGAACCCCCGAGAAGGTTTCACATTATCAAAAAAAACCGGTGGGATCCCCGAGAAGGTTTCAACTTAAAAAAAAAGACAAATTTGGCAATTATGAGAATGTTTCACATTTAAAAAAGAAACCAATTGGAACCCCCGGAGAGGGTTTCACCTTATTAATAAAAACAGTTGGAACCCGGAGAAGGTTTCACATTATTAGAAAAATCAGTTGGAACCCCCGAGAAGGTTTCACATTAAAAACAGTTGGGATCCCCGAGAAGGTTTCACATAATTAATAAAAACAGTTGGAACCCGGAGAAGGTTTCACATTATTAGAAAAAACAGTTGGAACCCCCGAGAAGGTTTCACATTAAAAACAGTTGGGATCCCTGAGAAAGTTTCACATTATTAATAAAAACAGTTGGTACCTGAAGAAGGTTTCACGTTATTAAAAAAAACAGTTGGAACCCCCGAGAAGGTTTCACATTAAAAACAGTGGGGATCCTCGAGACGGTTTCACATTCTTAAAAAAAAAAGACAGTCGTGGCGCCCGTGAAGGTTTCAACTTCTTAAAAAAGGACACCAAAGAATGTTTTACCGTTTTTTAAACAAAGAAAATTGGGGACTCCGAAAGGCTTCATTAAAAAAAGACAGTTGGGACCCCAGAGAATGTTTCACTTTCTTTCAAAAAAGACACTTGGGGTCAGCGAGAAGGCTTCACATCATTAAAAAAACATTTGGGACCCTCGAGAAGGTTTCATTTTCCTTAAAAAAGTGGATTTGGGGCCCCCGATAAGGTTACACTTCTTTAACAAAAATGATAGAAGGAAACCCCGAGAAGGTTTCACATTAATAGAAAACACAGTTGGGACCACGGACAAGGTTTCAACTTCTTTAAAAAAAAGACAGTTGTGGCGCTCGAGAGGATTTGATCTTCTTAAAAAAAAGACATTTGTGGACCAGAGAAGATTTTACCTTCTTTAAAAAAGAAACTTGGGAACTCCGAGAAGGCTTCACATTATTAAGAAAAGACAATTGGGACCCCAGAGAATGTTTCACTTTCTTTTAAAAAAATACACTTGGGGTCCCCAAGAAGGTTTCACATTATTAAAAAAAGACATTTAAGACCTTCGAGAAGGTTTCACTTTCTTTAAAAAAAAGGCAGATGGGAACCCCGAGAACGTTTCACATTATAAAAAAAACAGTTGGGACCCCGGGAGAAGATTTCAAATTATTAATAAAGACAGTTGGAATCCCCACGAAAGTTCCACTTTCTTTAAAAAAAATACACTTGGTGCCTCCAAGAAGGTTTCAAATTTTTTAAAAAAAGACAGTTGGAAACACCGAAAAGATTTCACATTATCAAAAGAAAAACGTTGGGATCCCTGGGATGGTTTCAACTTCTTTAAAAAAAGACAGTTATGGCGCCCAAGGAGGTTTCAAATTCTTAAAAAAAGGACACTTGGGACTCCAGAGAAGATTTTACCTTCTTTAAAAGAACCTTGGGAACTTCGAGAAGGTTTCACATTATTAAAAAAGACACTTGAGACCCCAGAGAAGGTTTCACTTTCTTTCAAAAAAAGACACTTGGGGTCCCCGAGAAGGTTTCACATTATTAAAAAAAGACACTTGGGAACGTCGAGAAGGTTTCACTTCTTTAAAAAAAATACACTTAGGGCGCTAGAGAAAGTTTCAACTTCTTTAAAAAAAGACAGTTAAGGCGTCCAAGGTCTCAACTTCTTAAAAAAAGGACACTTGGAGTCCCAAAGAAGGCTTCATTTCCTTTAAAAAAATATATTGATGGGGCCTTTCAGAAGCTTTCACATTCTCTAAAAAAAACCAGAAGGTTTCAAATTATGAAAATTCGAGCTCGTAGCTCCTATGTCGTCCTTTTCCTCCTTTTCCTCCTTTTTCGTCCTTTTTTCTTCCTTTTCGCCCTTTTTCGTCCTTTTTCGTCCTATTCGCCCTTATTCGTCCTTCTTATCCTTTTTCATCCTTTTCATACTATGTCGTCCTTTCTCGTCCTTTTTCGTCCTTTTCGTCCTTTTTCGTCCTTTTCGTCCTTGTTAGTCCTTTTTGTCTTTTTCGTCCTTTTCGTCTTTTTTCATCATTTCGTTCTCTTCGTCCAGTTCGTCCTTTTTCGTCCTTATTATCCTTTTCCGTCCTTGTCGTGCTTTTCGTCCTTTTTCCTACTTTTCGTCCTTTTTCTCCCTTTTGTCATTTCCGTCCTTTTACGTCCTTTCTCGTCCTTTTCGTTATTTTCGTCCTTTTTCGTTCTTCTCGTCTTTTTCGTACTTTTCGTCCTTTTTCCCACTTTTCGACCTTTTTAATAATATTATTAATAATAATAATAATAATAATAATAAAGTTTATTGCCCAACAGAACTACTACTTTTTCGTCCTTTTTCTTCCTTTTCGTCATTTTCGTCCTTTTTCTCATTTTCGTCCTTTTTCGTCCTTTTCGTCTTTTCGTCCTTTTTCGTTCTTTTACGTCCTTTTCGTCATTCTCGTCCTTTTTCGTTCCTTTCATTATTTTCGTCGTTTTCGTGCTTTTCGTCCTTTGTACTACTTTTCGTCCTTTTTCGTCCTTCTCGTCCTTTTTCGTCCGTTTCCGTCCTTTTCGTCCTTTTTCGTCCTTGTTCGTGCTTTTTTGTTCTTTGTCGTCCTTTTTCGTCCTATTTGTATTTTTCGTCCTTCTCGTCCTTTTTCGTCCCTTTCATTATTTTCGTCCTTTTTCGTTCTTCTCGTTTTTTTCGTCCTTTTCGTCCTTTTTCGTCCTTATTCGTCCTTTTCGTCCTCTTTCGTCCTTATTCGTCCTTTTCGTCCTTTTTCGTCCTTATTATCCCTTTTCGTCCTTTTTCGTCGTTTTTCTTCCTTCTCGTCATTTTCTTCCTTTTTCGTCCTTTTAGGGATAAGATAAGACTGATTTTGGCAAATAACATACCTTCTGAGAAAATAAGGGAGGGTGGGCGGGCCTAGTACTTGCTAACGTAAGTCTTATTTTGGCAAATAACATATCCTCTGCGAAAATAGGAGGCGTGTGGGCGAGGCTAGTACTTGGTAAGGGAAGAGTTATTTTGCCCCTATTAAACTTGTAAAGACTTGTCAAAGGCGTTGAATTGCAAATTTCCATAGTAACGAGTTAAATTCCTAAATCTGATTGGATGTTTATTTTTTAACAACTCAGTCATTATTTTTTTTTAGTCGCCCTGTTTAAGCAAATCTAAAAAATATAAATGCAGTAATAAATCACAAATATAGACTGATCATATTTTGTATATTTTAGATAGTATTTATCCACCAAAATTTTGAGATAACATCATCAACTTTTTGGAGAGGATAAGCGAATAAATTTTTATTAAAATTGCGAAACGTTGTTCTATAATTTTGATTTTTTTCCAAAAATCTGGACGTTTCGGGTAAAAACTCAACACGGAGTCATAAACTACATGTGTAGGACTATGTTATTTATACAATTTAAAACCCATTTACTATGTACATTATTGGTGGCGATGATTAGACAATTATAAAATTTGACAACAATCGGAGATCATCTGTCTAATAAAAAACAGCCGGACAGATAGACGGACAGACAGACGGAAATGGGAGATCTATTTCTTCGTCCTGTAGGGATCGTGATTGCTTACGCTCAGAAAGTAACAAAGACACTTTGATGTTGTGAGAATACAAAATTGATTTCTGCCGTGCTTTCTTAAGAAGGAGACAAATATAACCCTTCTTCCAAAGTGAAGGAAAGACGGATTTCTTTATTATTAAATTAAATATAATACAAAGTGGCTCAGCAAGAATCTGCGCACAGTCTTTAAGTAAAAAAAGAGGGAATTCCATCAATACCCATTGTCAGCATCTTCAACAGTAATTTGGCACGGTGGAATAAAAATATTAGAAATAGTGTTAGCCAATCGCTAGATAATAAAAAAGTATGACAATTATGTTACATAAGGTCAATATTTATAATTGACCCAACGCACCGCGACTGAGAATAGTTGTCTTATTGACTAAAGAATTCACAAAAAAATCGTCGGACCTGTTTCCTCCAACAAATTATGTTAACGTGACTGTTATCTAACGCAGCGCCTGAAGATGCCCCAAACAGGTCCTTCGTAAATTTACATAAGCAGGTAGACAGCTGCACTGCCCAAAAAAACCCACGACAACGGTTTTTAATGACGTTCCGTGATTGATTGATTAAAATACAGCAGTTTATTCAAGCATAAAAAGGAATACAATCTTTGGGGTTAAGCAACCGAGCATCCTATTTTTCGGGTAAAACTCGATTTCGAATAACGTATCGGTAAAATCCGGCTGAAGCTTTCGGGGTTCTTTGTCTTCGAGGATCGGTGAAGTTGACGTCGTAGAGGCCAAACTTGACCCTAGAAAACGATATTTTAATTATTTAGAAAGAGAAAAACGAATAAGTTACGTGAAACCACTTCTCCACTCCATATTGTCCATAATGCTCCAAACCGTGTAACCTTTCACGTTGCAGTTGTCTTCCAGAATTGATAAAAGAAGGGCTTTCATGAATCCCTGAAACTCACAATGTATTGACAAATTTAAGTCTCAAATACTAACATATAAAAAGATCACGCGATTCCTGTCCTTGAGACCTCCTGCATCCCCAAACCCATTCTCTGTCACAACAACCAACGGATTGTTGTATTGCGTCTTAACCCAGTTTAGTAGTTTCCGAAAACCCCAAGGTACAATCTCCGGAGTGGGTTTCCAGTCGGGATTTTGTGTCCCCAAGGTACCTTTATCCTTCTGATACGAAGAACGATTATACTGGTACTCGTGATCCGCAATCAACCACGTGTGGTAATGGTTCAAACCAAAAAAGTCGAATGTTCCTTGAATCAGCTTCACTTCACTCGGGTTTAAAGCGGGAAGTCTTGATTTAGTAAAATTTTCTCGTTTGCTATTTTCGGCGATACGCACTTTCATAATTTCGGGGTAGTCACCTGACGCTGAAAATATAGGGTTTGCCCACCACCCCAGCCCAAACTGCATTTCTCTTTCTGCGGCTATTACATCCACGGTTGAATTAGTTTTAGGTTCGGCCCATATGGAATCAACCGTGATACCAACAATTCCTGGTGGAAACTCAACGTTACTAACCAAACTGTGTTTTAGACATTATTGTGTCTCACCGAATTGTGTCTGTCTGAACTCATTATCATATAGTCTGTACGCTTTGGCATGTGCTAGTAATATAGTTTTCCCACATAGATATAACCCAATTCCAGGAGATTCCACATAGGCAGGAGCCCCTTTACCATTTTCGTATGTATCAACACAAATACTAGCAGGTTCGTTGATAGTAATCCAAGCTTTCACCCTATCACCAAACAGTCCAAACGCGACTCGGGCAAAATCTTCAAAATAATCTGCAATGAGAGGATTGGTCCACCCACCCAGATCCTGTAAAGATTGAGGAAGATCCCAGTGGTACAGCGTCACCACTGGTGCAATCCCATTGGAAAGCAACCCATCAATTAAATTATTGTAGTACCGAACCCCATCTGGGTTCACGTGAGTTGCGAAACCACTGGGTAGAATCCTGGACCACGATAAAGAAAACCTGTAGTAGTCCACGTTCAGGTACTTCAACAACTTGATGTCAGTGTTCCATAGATCGTACGAATCGCACGCCACATCTCCTGTACTATGGTCAGTAATCAAATCTGGATAAGAATGGGTTAATCGATCCCAGATATTTTCGCCTTTACCTGAAACCGACTAAATCGTTGAACACGAGCACGAATAACACGGGTCTCAGGGTTGCTCCTTACCACTCGCGTTCCATCCTCCTTCCACCTGGTACGCCGCCGTAGCCACTCCAAATTTAAACCCGTCTGGGAATTTTAAAGTTTTATTAGCACAGCATAAGACAAACACGTAGCACCACACTAGGATTATCCTGGCTGACATATTCTGTTTTGGAGAAAATTAGTTTAATATGGTGAAGGGTGGCAGCGGAAGCACGATAACGGAGGAATGTTCTCTTATATTTATGTGTTTACTGATACAAATCCACTATCTGAGGCACAACATGCATTTTGGAATAATTTACAGATACAGCTCACTTTACGCGTTTGATTTATTGTGGAGATTAAACATCTGATTTATTCATCGAGTGCATTGCCGTTTGTTATCTTTATGGCTATTATTATTGTTTTTCTGGGTTTCTTTTAATTGATTTATGGAAAGCGGCGCTGGGAGTGGATTGGTTTAGGTTGTTTAGAGGGGTCAGTGGGGTATAAGTGAACACACATATTTTATTCAACCGTATAGACAGTACACAAAAGGGTGATCTTACAGAGACTGGAAACAGATACTGTGTAAAAAAATGTTATTTCCTCTATCTTTTCAGCGAAAGTGTGGGCAACCAACTATATAGAAGCGTAAAGTATGAAACTAATTTACATCGCTTGGGTTTTCATTATTCCGTCTGGTACTTAATTTCTTTTTAAATTTTACTGTGTGCTTTTATTTTCACGACTGGATTAAATTATACACGTTATTAAATTTATGGTGCAGTTTATATTCAAAGCATCCAGACAGTGAAATTCAAGAAATTCATTTAATTGAAAACCGAAAGATTAAAATAAAGTTGGTTAGACTGTCTTGCTTCGTTTTTTGGTCAGTGCAGTTGGCAGCGACGAGATTGACGTTTTATTAACAAGCTCATTAATTAATCAAGCGGGAAACTAAAATTTACCTATCATTACATTCAAGTTCTTTGATATTAAAAAGAACTGACAAATTTTTAACCTCATACAAGTTTTTCCCCCTTTTTCTATTAAAATTGGAAAAACAGCCGACAATTTTCCAAAATTTATACTAATGGGGAGCCAGAAATGGCCTGGACTTTATTTTACTTACTGAATGACTATTAATGTTTGGATTTTTTTTGGTCAGGTTGGCGACATATAAAAATTTTATGGTGGCTATCTGATTATTAAATTGACATTTATAGATGTTTAATTTTGTCAACAATATTTATATTTTTCACACATTTCCTAACCTTACATTTCAAACAACAACAAAAATTGAAGGGATTTTGATTATTTTGTATCAACTACCAACAAACTTACTAGTTTTCAAGGCCAACCTGTTTCGACGAAATCAAGAATGGATAATAGCTATAATACCATATGGTCGAACAAAATCATTTTTGTAAATTTATTTTTAAAATAATGATGTTGGTATTACAGTTATTTGACTGCAAAGTCGGTGTTGCCAACATCATTATTTTAAAAATATTTCATCGCCCACTAGGGCTTATTGTTGATATTAAGTGTTTCAATTGGTATGAACAAATTTTGCTTCAAATTGGCAGAACTGTCAGTCACCCCACTTTACTTCCTATTCTCAAAATTAACATGGCTAATAGCGACATAGAATTTCAGTGAAACTTTGTTATTGACTGATTATTACCGCAATGTCATAACTCTGAACTTAATTTTCTTGATCGCTTCAAATTGACATAGCGCCAAACATTTGAATCAGGATCGACAATAGCAGTGCAAAAAAAATCTCCCCAATTTAATTAATTTTATAGCTAACTTAACCAGTATTTCTTGTCAAGCCATTTTCTAATATTTCATAATTGACAACTGTGAACTGACATGCCAATAATTCAGAACTGCCAACACAAAAAATTGCTTCAATCATAAATGTATAGTCGCCCGATATTATGCATTCACGGTCTTTTCGAATTAAAGTTGGCACTGACACTTTTTCTTCATGTTGGACAAATTGATTCGATGGTAGGGTTTTTTGTATGTCACTAGTTTGACTTAATTATCGCGACATTTACTGCAAATGGATTTCACTATTCGACTTTGCAATTTTAAATCAAGTAAACAAAACGTTTATTTATTTATTTTTTCAACAATGATTACGCTTTTGACACATTACCTAACCTTAAATTTAAAACAACAAGAGAAACTGAGGGAATAGCAACTACCAACAAACTTATTAGATTTTCATGGCCAACCCTACTTCAAGATCGATAATAGATAATACCACATGCTATCCTTAGAATCCTTGAAATCCTTGGAATACTTGGAATCCTTGGAATCCGTGGAATTTTTGGAATCTTTGGAATCTTTAGAAATTTTAGAATCCTTGGAATCCTTGGAATCCTTGGAATCTTTGGAATCTTTGGGATCCTTGGTCTTCTGGAATTCTTGGAATACTTGGAATCTTTGGAAATTTTAGAATCCTTGGAATCCTTGGAATCTTCGAAATCTTCGGAATCTTTGGAATCCTCGAAATCTATGGAATCTTTGGTATCATTGGAATCCTTTGAATTCTTGGAATCCTTTGAATTCTTGGAATCCTTGGAATCCTTGGAACACCTGGAATCCTTTTAATCATTGGACTCCTTGGTATCCATAGAATCCTTGAAATCCTTGGAATACTTGGAATCCTTAGAATCCTTGGAATTTTTGGAATCTTTGGAATCTTTGGAATCTTTGGAATCTTTGGAATCTTTGGAATCTTTGGAATCTTTAGAACCTTGGAATCCTCGGAATACTCGTGTTATTTGGAATCTTCGGAATCTTCGGAAACCTCGGAATCCTCGGGACCCTCGAAATCCATGGAATCCTTGGAAGCCTTGGAAGCCTTGCAATCCTTGGATTCCTTGAAATCTTTGGAATCCTTGAAATCCATGGAATCCTTGGAATACTTGGAATCTTTGGAATCCTTGGTCTTCTGGAATTCTTGGAATACTTGGAATCTTTGGAATCTTTGGAATCTTTGGAAATTTTAGAATCCTTGGAGTCCTTGGAATCTTCGAAATCTTCGGAATCTTTGGAATCTTCGGAATCTATGGAATCTTCGGTATCATTGGAAACCTTTGAATTCTTGGAATCCTTGGAATCCTTGGAACCCTTGGAACACCTAGAATCCTTTTAATCCTTGGACTCCTTGGTATCCTTAGAATCCTTGAAATCCTTGGAATATTTGGAATCCTTAGAATCCTTGGAATTTTTGGAATATTTGGAATATTTGGAATTTTTGGAACCTTTGGAATCTTTGGAATCTTTAGAATCTTTGGAATCTTTAGAACCTTGGAGTCCTCGGAATTCTCGTGTTATTCGGAATCTTCGGAATCGTCGGAATAATCGGAATCCTCAGGATCATCGGAATCCTCGGGATCCTGGGAAACCTCGGAATCCTCGGAACCCTCGAAATCCATGCAATCCTTGGAAGCCTTGGAAGCCTTGCAATCCTTGGATTCCTTGAAATCTTTGAAATCCTTGGAATTCTTGGAATCCTTGGAATCCTTGGAATACTTGGAATCTTTGGAATCTTTGGAATCTTTGGAAATTTTAGAATCCTTGGAGTCCTTGGAATCTTCGAAATCTTCGGAATCATTGAAATCTTCGGATCTTTGGTATCATTGGAATCCTTTGAATTCTTGGAATCCTTGGAATCCTTGGAACCCTTAGAACACCTGGAATCCTTTTAATCCTTGGACTCCTTGGTATCCTTAGAATCCTTGAAATCCTTGGAATACTTGGAATCCTTAGAATCCTCGGAATTTTTGGAATCTTTGTAATTTTTGGAACCTTTGGAATACTTGGAATCTTTGGAATCTTTGGGATCCTTGGTCTTCTGGAATTCTTGGAATACTTGGAATCTTTGGAATCTTTGGAAAGAATCCTTGGAGTCCTTGGAACCTTCGAAATCTTCGGAATCTTTGGAATCTTCGGAATCTTTGGTATCATTGGAATCCTTTGAATTCTTGGAATCCTTGGAACCCTTAGAACACCTGGAATCCTTTTAATCCTTGGACTCCTTGGTATCCTTAGAATCCTTGAAATCCTTGGAATACTTGGAATCCTTGGGATTTTTGGAATCTTTGGAATTTTTGGAACCTTTGGAATCTTTAGAATCTTTGGAATCTTTAGAACCTTGGAGTCCTCGGAATACTCGTGTTATTCGGAATCTTCGGAATCGTCGGAATAATCGGAATTCTCAGGATCATCGGAATCCTCGGGATCCTGGGAAACCTCGGAATCCTCAGAACCCTCGAAATCCATGGAATCCTTGGAAGCCTTGGAAGCCTTGCAATCCTTGGATTCCTTGAAATCTTTGAAATCCTTGGAATTCTTGGAATCCTTGGAATCCTTGGAATACTTGGAATCTTTGGAATCTTTGGAATCTTTGGAAATTTTAGAATCCTTGGAGTCCTTGGAATCTTAGAAATCTTCGGAATCATTGGAATCTTCGGATCTTTGGTATCATTGGAATCCTTGGAACCCTTAGAACACCTGGAATCCTTTTAATCCTTGGACTCCTTGGTATCCTTAGAATCCTTGAAATCCTTGGAATACTTGGAATCCTTAGAATCCTCGGAATTTTTGGAATCTTTGTAATTTTTGGAGCCTTTGGAATACTTGGAATCTTTGGAATCTTTGGGATCCTTGGTCTTCTGAATTTCTTGGAATACTTGGAATCTTTGGAATCTTTGGAAATTTTAGAATCCTTGGAGTCCTTGGAATCTTCGAAATCTTCGGAATCTTTGGAATCTTCGGAATCTTTGGTATCATTGGAATCCTTTGAATTCTTGGAATCCTTGGAATCTTTGGAACCCTTAGAACACCTGGAATCCTTTTAATCCTTGGACTCCTTGGTATCCTTAGAATCCTTGAAATCCTTGGAATACTTGGAATACTTGGAATCCTTAGAATCCTTGGGATTTTTGGAATCTTTGGAATTTTTAGAACCTTGGAGTCCTCGGAATACTCGTGTTATTCGGAATCTTAGGAATCGTCGGAATAATCGGAATTCTCAGGATCATCGGAATCCTCGGGATCCTGGGAAACCTCGGAATCCTCGGAACCCTCGAAATCCATGGAATCCTTGGAAGCCTTGGAAGCCTTGCGATCCTTAGATTCCTTGAAATCTTTGAAATCCTTGGAATACTTGAAATCCATGGAATCCTTGGAATACTTGAAATCTTTGGAATCTTTGGGATCCTTGGTCTTCTAGAATTCTTGGAATCCTTAGGATCCTTGGAATTTTTGGAATTTTTGGAACCTTTGGAATCTTTGGAATCTTTAGAATCTTTGGAATCTTTAGAACCTTGGAGTCCTCGGAATACTCGTGTTATTCGGAATCTTCGGAATCTTCGGAATCGTCGGAATAATTGGAATCCTCAGGATTATCGGAATCCTCGGGATCCTGGGAAACCTCGGAATCCTCGGAACCCTCGCAATCCATGGAATCCTTGGACGCCTTGCAATCCTTGGATTCCTTGAAATCTTTGAAATCCTTGGAATCCTTGAAATCCATGGAATCCTTGGAATACTTGAAATCTTTGGAATCTTTGGGATTCTTGGTCTTCTGGAATTCTTGGAATACTTGGAATCTTTGGAATCTTTGGAAATTTTAGAATACTTGGAGTCCTTGGAATCTTCGAAATCTTCGGAATCTTTGGAATCTTCGGAATTTTTGGTATCATTGGAATGCTTTGAATTCTTGGAATCCTTGGAATCCTTGGAACCCTTAGAACACCTGGAATCCTTTTAATCCTTGGACTCCTTGGTATCCTTAGAATCCTTGAAATCCTTGGAATACTTGGAATCCTTGGAATCCTTAGAATCCTTGGGATTTTTGGAATCTTTGGAATTTTTGGAACCTTTGGAATCTTTGGAATCTTTAGAATCTTTGGAATCTTTAGAACCTTGGAGTCCTCGGAATACTCGTGTTATTCGGAATCTTAGGAATCGTCGGAATAATCGGAATTCTCAGGATCATCGGAATCCTCGGGATCCTGGGAAACCTCGGAATCCTCGGAACCCTCGAAATCCATGCAATCGTTGGAAGCCTTGGAAGCCTTGCAATCCTTCGATTCCTTGAAATCTTTGAAATCCTTGGAATCCTTGAAATCCACGGAATCCTTGGAATACTTGAAATCTTTGGAATCTTTGGGCTCCTTGGTCTTCTAGAATTCTTGGAATCCTTAGAATTCTTGGAATTTTTGGAATTTTTGGAACCTTTGGAATCTTTGGAATCTTTAGAATCTTTGGAATCTTTAGAACCTTGGAGTCCTCGGAATACTCGTGTTATTCGGAATCTTCGGAATCGTCGGAATAATTGGAATCCTCAGGATCATCGGAATCCTCGGGATCCTGGGAAACCTCGGAATCCTCGGAACCCTCGCAATCCATGGAATCCTTGGAAGCCTTGCAATCCTTGGATTCCTTGAAATCTTTGAAATCTTTGGAATCCTTGAAATCCATGGAATCCTTGGAATACTTGAAATCTTTGGAATCTTTGGGATTCTTGGTCTTCTGGAATTCTTGGAATACTTGGAATCTTTGGAATCTTTGGAAATTTTAGAATACTTGGAGTCCTTGGAATCTTCGAAATCTTCGAAATCTTTGGAATCTTCGGAATTTTTGGTATCATTGGAATCCTTTGAATTCTTGGAATCCTTGGAATCCTTGGAACCCTTAGAACACCTGAAATCCTTTTAATCCTTGGACTCCTTGGTATCCTTTGAATCCTTGAAATCCTTGGAATACTTGGAATCCTTAGAATCCTTGGAATTTTTGGAATCTTTGGAATTTTTTGAACCTTTGGAATCTTTGGAATCTTTAGAATCTCTGGAATCTTCAGAACCTTGGAGTCCTCGGAATACTCGTGTTATTCGGAATCTTCGGAATCGTCGGAATAATCGGAATCCTCAGGATCATCGGAATCCTCGGGATGCTGGGAAGCCTCGGAAGCCTTGCAATCCTTGGATTCCTTGAAATCTTTGAAATCCTTGGAATCCTCGAAATCCATGGAATCCTTAGAATCCTGGGAATCCTTGCCATCGCGGAATCTCTGGAATAACCGGAATTCTCGGAATCTTCGGAAACCTCGGAATCCTCGGAACCCGCGAAACCCTCGGTACCCTCGGAATCCAAGAATCCATGGAATCCTTGGAACCCTTGGAATTTTTGGAATCCTTGGTATCTTTGGAATCCTTGGAATTCTTGGAATCCTTGGAATCTTTGAAATCTTTGTAATCTTCGATATCTTTGGAATTTTGGAATCTTTTGAATCTTTGTAATGTTTGTAATCTTTAGAATCTTTGGAATCCTCGGAATCCTCTGAATCCTCGGAATCTTCAAAATCTTCTAAATCTTCGGAATGTTAGGAATCCTCGGAATCCTTGAACTCCTCGGGATCCTCGGAACCCTCGGAATCCTCGAAATCCTTGGTTCGAACCCTTGCAATCCTTGAAATTTTTGGAATCTATGGATTCTGTGGAATGTTTGGAATTTTTATCTTCTATATCTCTCTAGAGTCTTGAGAGTCTTTGTAGTCTTCAGGGTCATTAGAGTCTTTGGATTCTTCAGTCTTAAGATTCTTCAAAGTCTTCAGAGTCTTCAGAACCTTCATACCCTTTAGAGTCTTTAGAGTTTTTAGAGTCTTTGGAGTCTTTAAAGTCTTTAGAGTTTTTAGAGTCTTTAGAATCTTTAGAATATTTAAAATCTTTAGAATCTTTAGAACCTTTAGAATCTTTAGAATATTTAGTATCTCTATAATCTTTAGAATCCTTAGAATCTTGGGGAGTCCTTGTGTCTGGTTTATAAAGTAGTCTGAAAGAATCTCGAGAATAACTTGTATTTTGTTTCTGAATTAGTTTGAAAGAATCTCGGGGACTCCTTGTGATAATGATGTTGGCATTACAGTGTTTTGACTGCAAACACCCTAAATTAGTACTAATATAGGGATTTTGATTTGACTGTAACTATCAAATCGTGGAAAGAACAGGTTGGCGTTGCCAACATCATTATTTTAAAAATAAATTTCATAGCCTACTTGACCTTTTTTGATGATATTAAGTACTACAGCGTGATTAAGAATTATTGTCTCAATTAGTATGAACAAATTTTCCTTCAAATTGGCAGAACTGTCACTCCATTTTACTTCCTGTTTTCAAAATTAACATGGTTGACAGTGATACCGAATTTCAGTGGTTTCAGTTTGTTATTGATTGATTATTGTTACTGAAATGTCATAACTCATTACTTAATTTTCTTGGCCGCTTCAAAGTGACATAGTGACAAACATTTGAATCAGGTTCGGCATTAGCAGAACAAGAAAAATCTCCCCAATTTAATTAATTTTATCGCTAACTCAAATAATATTTGTTGATCACGCTGTATTTATCGAGTCACTATTAACATCTGTAAATTTTTGTCAGGTTGGTTACACATTTGAAATTGTATGAATGCATACTTGATTGTCAAACTTAAATTTAGAGCATCAAGTCAGTAGCTGCCATTTTCTAATCAAGCTTACTAAGTGCGTTCATTTCAAAATTGACAACTGTGACCTGACATGCTAGCATTGCTGCCAGTAATTCAGAACTGCCAACACAAACAATTATTTTTTTTTATTTTTCAATAATGTTTAGGCTTTTGACATATTATCTAACCTTCAATTTAAAACAAGGAAAACAGAGGGAATAGCAACTATCAACAAACGTATTAGATTTTCATGGCCCAGCCTACTTCAAGATCGAGAATAATACTACACGACCTCTTACAGCTAGTAAAATATATTTTTAAAATAATGATGTTGGCATTACAGTACATTAAATTAGTACTAATATAGGGACTTTAATTTGACCGGAACTGTCAAATCGGTGAAAGAATGGGTCGGTGTTGCCAACATCATTATTTTAAAAATAAATTTCAATATAGTAGTTCTGTAATGGGAAATATATAATAAAACAACCCAAAGTCTGTAACATTTTTATGTAAGGAAGAACAACATATATAATTTCTGTACATAATTTAGCTCCGTATATACAAAACAATAGATACAAATCTTTGGCGAAATTATATACACGAATAATAACAAAACAAAGAGAGTATTTCTGCATAAATAAATCCATACCACGGTACACAAAACACTCGCAAACCATAAAACATTGCAAAGAGAACTTACTATCACGTCCAAGGTACAAATATTATAAATTCACATATAAAAGATTTGTATGTATATGGTCACTTACGAATAATACTCTTCACAGTCACGAAGACTCTTACCAATTACTGAGTGTTTAATAGTGCAAATTGACATATCACGGCTCAAACCAAACCAAAATTAAGTACAGTAAATGTGCATCGAGTGAGACGAAAACTTGATTGTACAGCTGCATACATGACTGACTACATTAGGTACACTTATACATTAATCAGTGCAGTGTTTCGTACAGGGTAGGCTTGAACACTTGCAAACATGAACACTTTAAATGGGGGTGTACCTAAATTACGACGTCAATTTAGAACAAACAGAGTGCACCCTGTAGTGTGAAAATCAGTCGGATTTATTGAATTTAAATTACGCTAGATGGTAGTTTCTCGAATTGAGGCATCGTTTGGCTGCCCCGTCGCCGGGGCAGAGTGCCGCTCCCGGGCACGCAAGACACTTCCGGACAGCCATAGGAGAGGAGTAGGTCCACCAGACTCCGACTGGCGGCGGCCGACAAGTCCGCCGTCACGCTGTTGCTGGTCTGCAGCTTCGCCGCCGCTATGCTGGCGGCGGCGCGGGCGTACGCCAGGCAAGTGCGCCCGTCTTGGTCCACCGCCTTCACGTTGGCGTTGTGCTGCACACACAAAAATCAATTTAACACGATTCAAATGCCAATCACGAGTTAAGACTTACCCAAATCAAGAGCTGAGCCACGGCGAGATTTCCCATCGCGCACGCTAGATGCAGCGGCGTCCGCAAATCCCTAGCAGCTACCGTCGAATTCACTTGGTCGGTATTGGCTACCGCCAACACGTGGATGATGGCCTTCATGTTTGAACTACACACGGCGTCGACTAATTGTTGCCCTATGGGCATGGTATTGTTGGATGGAGGCAGGAACTCCTTGCTCTCGTACTTGGCCCTTATCCACCTTTCCTTCTCTTCTCTACTGGACGTAGGAGTCGGTTTAGTTCTACCTTGTATCCGGCATTCCCACACGGAATTGGCTAAAGTGTTGCCGATTGCCAACATTACGCTAAGATGACCAGCTCTGAAAGGTACCCGTGAGCTTTGTTAAGTGTGAAGGGGAAGAACTTACGGCCACTCGTCCAAATCTAAGGACCTAACTCTAGAAATATGAGATCCTAGGTTTCGGTGAATCCCGGAACATTCTATGCACATGAGAACGCCAAGATTCAGGCTCGCCCAGTCAGGATCTACAAAAAAACATCGTGGTATAGTAAGCCGGCGATTTGGGTAGGCGTGAGGGTGAAATTGGGTGGGTCGACAATCTGGGCTCAATGGTTTTTTTCATTTATTTCAGGAACCGTGCGTCCGACAAAAAATTCGTAAGAAACGTTTTTATAGGCAATGTGATGATCTATTACTTTTATTAATAACTTTTCGGCGTAGTATTAATAATAAAAAAGTTAAGAGCTGAAAAAGAAAACAATTAGGGGACAGGTATTCAACGTGGGATAACCCTTCTATTTTCAATTATACAAAAACAGGACGGTTTATTATTATAAAGAAGAGTATAAATGGTCGCGTTTTGAAGGAGTTCTACAAAATTTTGAAATTCCAGAGATTTTTCACTGTTAGTCCCTGGGTAACACCGACATCTCATCAAAAAAAAAAAAACAGTAATCATTGATAAAAACTGCTTTTCAAAAAGCCACGAAGCAATGTTTTTGTAGAAATGAAGAAAATACAAGAGTTATCCCACCTCAAAATACCTGTCCCCTAATTTTTTTTATTTTCAGCTCATAACTAGTTTATTATTAATACTACGCCGAAAAATTATTAACAAAAGTTGTAGACAATGGTATTACCTACAAAAACTCCCCCCACGAAATTTCTGTCAGACCCACCGTTGCGGACTGAAACGACAAAAACATTTGTGACCGATTTTCAAAACTGGGCACAAAGTGTACGCCCGCGCATTTTTTGACGCTGGATCGATTGTTTTTAACCAAGCCAGGATCTACAGAACCATCTACAGTACAGTACTGTAATCCGACATGAAACCGTGCAATTTGAGTAGTCAATTTTTTTTCGGGCACAATGGTTTTACTCATTTATTTCAGGAACCGTGCGTCCGACAAAAAATTCCTAAGGAGCGTTTTTATACGCAATGTGATGATCTATAACTTTTATCAACAACTTTTCGGCGCAGTATTAATAATAAAAAAGTTACGAGCTGAAAAATAAAACAATTAGGGGACAGGTATTCAACGTGGGATAACCCTTCTATTTTCAATTCTACAAAAACAGGACGGTTTATTATTATAAAGAAGAGTATAAATCCTCGCGTTTTGAAGGAGTTCTACAAAATTTTGAAATTCAAGAGATTTTTCACTATCAGTCCCTGGGTAACACCGACAACTCATCAAAAAAAATAAACAGTAATCGTTGATAAAAACTGATTTTCAAAAAGCCACGCAGCAATGTTTTTATAGAAATGAAGAAAATACAAGAGTTATCCCACCTTAAATACCTGTCCCCTAATTTTTTTAATTTTCAGCTCATAACTAGTTTATTATTAATACTACGCCGAAAAGTTATTACAAAAGTCGTAGACAATGGTATTACCTACAAAAATTCTCCCCACGAAATTTCTGTCAGACCCACCGTTGCGGACTGACACGACAAAAACCTTTGTGCCCGATTTTCAAAACTGGGCACAAAGTGTACGCCCGCGCATTTTTTGACGCTGGATCGATTGTTTTTAACCAAGCCAGGATCTACAGAACCATCTACAGTACAGTACTGTAATCTGATATGAAACCGTGCAATTTGGGTAGTCAATTTTTTTTCGGGCACAATGGTTTTACTTATTTATTTCAGGAACCCTGCGTCCGACAAAAAATTCTTGGAAGGCGTTTTCGTAGACAATGTAATGATCTATAACTTTTATTAACAACTTTTCGGCGTAGTATTAATAATAAAAAGTTACGAGCTGAAAAATAAAACAATTAGGGGACAGGTATTGAAGGTGGGATAACCCTTCTATTTTCAATTCTACAAAAACAGGACGGTTTATTATTATAAAGAAGAGTATAAATCCTCGCGTCTTGAAGGAGTTCTACAAATTTTGAAATTCCAGAGATTTTTCACTGTTAGTCCCTGGGTAACACCGACAACTCATAAAAAAAAGTAAACAGTAATCGTTGATAAAAACTGCTTTTCAAAATGCCACGCACCAATATTTTTGTAGAAATCAAGAAAATACAAGAGTTATCCCACCTTAAATACCTGGCCCCTAATTTTTTTGTTTTTCAGTTCATAACTAGTTTATTATTAATACTACGCCGAAAAGTTATTAACAAAAGTTGTAGACAATGGTACTACCTACAAAAATTCCCCCCCACGAAATTTCTGTCAGACCCACCGTTGTGGACTGAAACGACAAAAACATTTGTGCCCGATTTTCAAAACTGGGCACAAAGTGTACACCCGCGCATTTTTTGACGCTGGAACGACAGTTTTTAACCAAGCCAGGATCTACAGAACCATTTACAGTACAGTACTGTAACCTGACATGAAACCGTGCAATTTGGGTAGTCAATTTTTGTTCGGGCACAATGGTTTTACTCATTTATTTCAGGAACCGTGCGTCCGACAAAAAATTCGTAGGAGGCGTTTTCGTAGACAATGTAATGATCTATAACTTTTATTATTAACAACTTTTCGGCGTAGTATTAATAATAAACAAGTTATGAGCTGAAAAATAAAACAATTAGGGGACAGGTATTGAAGGTGGGATAACCATTCTATTTTCAATTCTACAAAAACAGGACGGTTTATTATTATAAAGAAGAGTATAAATCCTCGCGTTTTGAAGGAGTTCTACAAAATTTTGAAATTCCAGCGATTTTTCACTGTCAGTCCCTGGGTAACACCGACAACTCATCAAAAAAATAAACAGTAATCGTTGATAAAAACTTTTTTCAAAAAGCCACGCACCAATATTTTTGTAGAAATCAAGAAAATACAAGAGTTATCCCACCTTAAATACCTGGCCCCTAATTTTTTTGTTTTTCAGTTCATAACTAGTTTATTATTAATACTACGCCGAAAAGTTATTAACAAAAGTTGTAGACACTGGTATTACCTACAAAAATTCCCCCCACGAAATTTCTGTCAGAGCCACCGTTGCGGACTGAAACGACAAAAACATTTGTGCCCGATTTTCAAAACTGGGCACAAAGTGTACACCCGCGTATTTTTTGACGCTGGATCGATTGTTTTTAACCAAGCCAGCATCTACAGAACCATCTACAGCACAGTACTGCAATCTGACATTAAACCGTGCAATTTGGGTAGTCAATTCTTTTTCGGGCACAATGGTTTTACTCATTTATTTCAGGAACCGTGCGTCCGACAAAAAATTCGTAGGAAGCGTTTTCGTAGACAATGTAATCATCTATAACTTTTATTAACAACTTTTCGGCGTAGTATTAATATTAAAAAAGTTACGAGCTGAAAAATAAAACAATTAGGGGACAGGTATTTAAGGTGGGATAACCCTTCTATTTTCAATTCTACAAAAAAAGGACGGTTTATTATTATAAAGAAGAGTATAAATCCTCGCGTTTTGAAGGAGTTCTACAAAATTTGAAATTCCAGAGATTTTTCACTGTTAGTCCCTGGGTAACACCGACAACTCATAAAATAAATAAACAGCAATCGTTGATAAAAACTGCTTTTCAAAAAGCCACGCAGCTATATTTTTTGTAGAAATGAAGAAAATACAAGAGTTATCCCACCTTAAATACCTGTCCCCTAATTTTTTTATTTTTCAGTTCATAACTAGTTTATTATTAATACTACGCCGAAAAGTTATTAACAAAAGTTGTAGACAATGGTATTAACTACAAAAATTCTCCCCACGAAAATTCTGTCAGACCCACCGTTGCGGACTGAAACGACAAAAATATCTGTGCCCGATTTTCAAAACTGGGCACAAAGTGTACGCCCACGCATTTTTTGACGCTGAAACGATAGTTTTTAACCAAGCCACGATCTACACAACCATGTGCAGTACAGTACTTTAATCTGACATGAAACCGTGCAATTTTTTTTCGGGCACAATGGTTTTACTCATTTATTTCAGGAACCGTGCGTCCGACAAAAAATTCGTAGGAGGCGTTTTCGAAGACAATGTAATGATCTATAACTTTTATTAACAACTTTTCGGCGTAGTATTAATAATAAAAAAGTTACGAGCTGAAAAATAAAACAATTAGGGGACAGGTATTCAACGTGGGATAACCCTTCTATTTTCAATTCTACAAAAACAGGACGGTTTATTATTATAAAGAAGAGTATAAATCCTCGCGTTTTGAAGGAGTTCTACAAAATTTTGAAATTCCAGAGATTTTTCACTGTTAGTCCCTGGGTAACACCGACAACTCATCAAAAAAAAAAAAACAGTAATTGTTGATAAAAACTGTTTTTGAAAAAGCCACGCAGCAATGTTTTTGTAGAAATGAAGAAAATGTAAGAGTTATCCCACCTCAAATACCTGTCCCCTAATTTTTTTGATTTTCAGTTCATAGCTAGTTTATTATTAATACTACGCCGAAAAGTTATTAATAAAATATGTAGCCAATAGTAAAAGCTACAAAAATCCTCCCCACGAAATTTTTATCAGACTCATTGTTTCGAAGTTAATCAAAAAAAATATTTGTGCCCGATTTTCAAACTGAACCCAAAAGGTGTACGGTTGCTTATTTTTCAACGCCACGTTAAAAATAAGGTCTAGACTTACTGGTGGCATCACAGTCGACGCAAAACCCATTTCCAGGTACCCGACTACGTATCGATTGTATCGTTGCGGCCTCCATGGGGTTGCTCTGCTTTTTCCCCTTCGAGGACTCGTTCAACTGTAACGAATTCAAGATCTGTTGTTCTATTGCAGCTACCCAGTCGTCCCGTTCTTCGGAACTAGACGCTTCGAAATGCCATTGCTTGTTGTCTAGCGAAACGATATAGAATTCATACCCGTCGGGATCTACAACTCAGTATAAAACACCAAAAAAGGGTCCCATTAAGTTACTTACCGTCATATTCCGAGCTCTTCACGCTGCTGCTCTTCATCCTCCGGTGGCGCTTCTTCACGTTCGGCGTCTCCGTCTTGATCCCGTCGCCGTTAACGAATGAACTACTATTCGACAAGACCATCCCTTCGTCCCCGCTCACTTGCGAGTACTTCGAGCTCGGGTCCTTGACCGTTTCGAACGCGCTGAGTAGTACCTTCTCCGTAGCGCGTTTGTCTTTGCCGCTCAGGGACAGCCCCCCCAAGCCTTCGTTAATACTGCTGCTGCCGTTGGTCCCGGCGACCGTGATGATGGATTTGGACCCTCGCGGCTTCTGGCCTGGGACTTTAACCGTGACGTACTGCAAGGATATCTCCTTACCGTGTACGTCGTCCATGTAGTCGTGCAGACTCGGGTGGTACGTCAATCTTCCGTCATCGCACAACGTGACGTACTTCTTCTTCCATTCCTTATTCAAGGGTTTACTGCTCCTCTTGTACAAGTAGCCTTGCTTGAGCGGAATGGCCCTCCCGCTCCCGAAATCCCCCACGTTCTTCAGCTTGTCGTCCCCTTTTTTCGACGGGGTGAACAAGTTGGACCGTCTCCGGCTCTTGCGAGCCGTAGTGGGTGTGGAACTGGGGGTCGGAAGGTCCTTCGAGTCCTTCGAGTTGCTGTGGACGTTGTCCACGGGGTGAGGCGCCGCGAATTTGGCCACGTTGTTGTTCTCGGTGGGGACGCTCTGGACCAAGATCTGGGAGGAACCGTGACTCAGTGTCGACGACGAAGAGTTCCACTTTTCGTCGGACGACTTGTCGCGGTGAAGGTAGTGAGTCGAGGACGACAAGGTGTGGACCTGCCTTGAGCCCAACGAGTGCAGACTCATGGAATCCTGCACATCGATTATTATCCTTCTCGGGTCGATTTGAAGACCGTGGCTTACCTTGTGCGAGAGGGTGTTGTGACTAGGTGACATTTGAGAGAAGCCGTTGTTCGACTGGGCAGTGGGTAGGTGTCTCGGGACAGACATTGGTCCACCGGTTGGATGGAAGTGGTTGGGTGTCGAAGGCCGTGAATTCGTGGGGGTGAGGCATGACGTCGACACCGATAATCGTTGTTGGACGATTTTCTGGCACGCTGAAAGAAATTCTCTCATTCTCGATTCATCGTGACTCATGATATGAGGTTTGTCAAAGGTGAAGGCCGACCTATACCTGTCTACCGTGCACACGTGCCAAAAGCGGAATCGAACGACAACCATTAAATTTCGCCGCGGGAGTTTCGCTGTCGTAAAAGTTGATTACTCACCGTCTTGGAAGACCCGTTCGACGTTGAGACCGTAGGTGGCACACGTCTCGTAATAAGAACACCTCTTCAGGTCGTTAGCCAGTTTCCTTGCACGGGAATCGTCGATGACTCGCGGATTATTCTCGCTTATTGCGTCTGCAAATGGATGGATAAAGTCAATATCGAAAGGGGAAACGGAACGAGATAGTTTTCTTAATGGCTCTTTAATGGAATGAGTGTGCGGGACGCTACAAAAAGACCGAGCTAATTCCATCTCGTCGGGTTCGACTCGAGGTTAACAGTGAAAACGGACCTTTTCAGGCAATTCTAAACCCAAAAACAATGAAAGTGAAACTCTGCAACGTCAATACCGCGATGAAAAGCCCACACATAAACTAAGTTTGACCAAAAACAACAAAAACGCGTTACCTTGTGTTCCCACTAAAATGAGCGGAATCTCCGCCGAGTTCCTATAGTGAGACATCTTCGTGTAGTAGTTGTAGATGGCGTTGAACGAAGACTCGTTTTCTAAACTAAAAACGAAAATGACGGCGTCCACCCAAGCGGTAAACTGGAAAAAAGTACACAGAATAAAAAAATTGCGAAAAATCGATTTCATGAAGACGTTAATTAGTGGTGGACGAGTGCCAAGTCGATAAAATATAGCAGTATTATTCAGACTTCAATAAGACAATAACTCTAGTGACTGTAGAGAATTTTGACGATTCTACAGACTATATTTAGATTATTATCTAAAGTTTCTAAAGATCCTAGAGGTTTTATAGAACTTAGAGACTGTAAAGAAATTTTCTGAATGCCTGAATTTAAAGATTTAAGAATTATAAAGTTTCTAAAGATTCTACGGTTTCTAGATCTCTACCATCAATAAGATTTAAACTCATTTCTACAGGGTGTTGTTTAAAAAATGCTGATTGTTTATAACTTTCAAATGAAACCTATTTAATCACTTAAAATATTTCAAAAATTTTAGAAGCTTCAGAAAAATCAAAGATTATGAAAATTTCAGAGATTGCAAAGAATCCAAAAAAATCCAGAAATTCCAGATATTCTAAATATTGCAAAAATTTACAGAATTCCACAAATTTTTTATGATCGATATTCTAAAAATTTCAAGAATTCGTGAAATTGGTTGTAAAATTGTCAGGAATCTAGAAATTCAGAATTTCCAGAGATTCCAAAGGTTCTCGAGATTCCAGAGATTATAAAAATTCCCAAGTTGTAGAACATCTGAAGAAAGATTTTAAAGATTCTGTGGATTCTATTCATGAAAATTTCAGCGGTTGCAAAGAATTCTCAGAAAAATACAGAAATTCTACAGATTCTAAATATTCCAAAGATTTCCAGAATTGCACAAATTTTTGGAATTTAGGAATTTACTGTTCCAAAAATTTCAAGGATTCCTGAAATTGATTCTACATATTTCAAAGATTCCATTATGAAAATTTCAGAGAATGCGAAGAATTCAAAAAAATCCAGGAATTCCAGAGAATCTAAATATTCCCAAAAATTTCCAAAATTCCTGAAACTGATCGTAAAATTTTCAAAGATTCCAGAGATTTCGAAGATTCTAAAGATTCCACAGAATCTAGAAATTTAGATTTTCCAAAGGTTCCAAATATCCTCGAGATTTCAGAGATTGTAGAAATTCCCAAATGGCAGAACTTCTGAAGAAAAATTCTAATAAATTCTAGAAATTCTGACGATTATGAAGACTCTAAATTATCTCCAGGTACTAAAAATTATAGAGATTCCTGAGATTCTAACGATTCTAAAGTTCTGGAATTTTAGAAATTCTACAGATTCTAGGGTTTCTAGAGTTTCTACAAATTTTAAAGTTTCTAAAGATTCAAAAAATTTTTAGAAACTTTAAAACTTTTGAGGATTCTAAGGAGTCTAAAAATTCTAAACTTCTAGATTTAAAATTCATGAAAATTTCAGCGGTTGCAAAGAATTCTCAGAAAAATACAGAAATTCTACAGATTCTAAATATTCCAAAGATTTCCAGAATTCCACAAATTTTTGGAATTTAGGGATTTACTGTTCCAAAAATTTCAAGGATTCCTGAAACTGATTCTACATATTTCAAAGATTCCATTATGAAAATTTCAGAGAAAAAATCCAGGAATTCCAGAGATTCTAAATATTCCCAAAAATTTCCAAAATTCCTGAAACTGATTGTGAAATTTTCAAAGATTCCAGAGATTTCGAAGATTCTAAAGATTCCACAGAATCTAGAAATTTAGATTTTCCAAAGGTTCCAAATATCCTCGAGATTTCAGAGATTGTAGAAATTCCCAAGTGGCAGAACTTCTGAAGAAAAATTCTAATAAATTCTAGAAATTCTGGCGATTATGAAGACTCTAAATTATCTACAGTTTCTAAAAATTCTAAAGAATCAAGAATTTCGAACGATTCTAAAATTCTGGAGTTTTAGAAATTCTAGAGATTCTAGGGTTTCTACAAATTTTAAATTTTCTAAAGATTTTAAAAATCTTGAGGATCCTAAGGAGTCTAAAGATTCTAAACTTTCTATTTTAAAATTCATGAAAATTTCAGAGGTCTCAAAAATATACAAAAATTCTACAGATTCTAAATATTCCAAAGATTTCCAGAATTCCGCAAATTTTTGGAATTTAGGGATTTACTATTCCAAAAATTTCAAGTATTTCTGAAATTGGTTCTAAATATTTCAATGATTCCAGAGGTTTTAAAGATTTCGAAGATTCCATAGAATCTCAAGTTTCAGAATTTCCAGAAATTCTAAAGAGATTCCCAAATGAAGAAAAAGTAAATTTTTAAAAATTTTCGGGATTCTAAAAAAAGAATTTGAATATTCTAAAGTTTCTAAAGACTCCAAACCTTCTACAGTGCGTTATTTAAAAATTCAAATACTTCGTACTTTCAAAACATCCAAGGATTCCAGAGATCTTAAATATTCAAACATTTTCAGAATGGATTCCGGAAATTGGTTGCAAAAATTTCAAAGATTCCACAGGTTTCAAAGATTTTAAAGATAGAATCTAGAGATTCACAGTTTCCAGAAATTATAGAGATTGCCAAATGGTCGAAATTCTGAAAAAGATTCTAGAGATTCTAGAAATTCTGAATATTCTAATAATCTAAACATTCTAGGAATTTTAGGGAATCAAAGGATTTAAGGACTCAACTTTCAAATGGGTATGTTTAAGAGCGTTGGGGATTTTTTTTTCAGAAATTTTAGAAAAATCAAAAATTTCCAGAATTCCACAAATTTTTTATGATTGATATTCTAAAAATTTCAAGAATTCGTGAAATTGGTTGTAAAATTGTCAGGAATCTAGAAATTCAGAATTTCCAGAGATTCCAAAGGTTCTCGAGATTCCAGAGATTATAAAAATTCCCAAGTTGTAGAACATCTGAAGAAAGATTTTAAAGATTCTGTGGATTCTAGATATTCTGACGATTCTAAAGACTCTAAATTATCTCCAGGTACTAAAAATTATAGATTCCTGAGATTCTAACGATTCTAAAGTTCTGGAATTTTAGAAATTCTACAGATTCTAGGGTTTCTAGAGTTTCTACAAATTTTAAAGTTTCTAAAGATTCTAAAAATTTTTAGAAACTTTAAAAATTTTGAGGATTCTAAGGAGTCTAAAAATTCTAAACTTCTAGTTTTAAAATTCATGAAAATTTCAGCGGTTGCAAAGAATTCTCAGAAAAATACAGAAATTCTACAGATTCTAAATATTCCAAAGATTTCCAGAATTTCACAAATTTTTGGAATTTAGGGATTTACTGTTCCAAAAATTTCAAGGATTCCTGAAACTGATTCTACATATTTCAAAGATTCCATTATGAAAATTTCAGAGAATGCGAAGAAGTCAAAAAAATCCAGGAATTCCAGAGATTCTAAATATTCCCAAAAATTTCCAAAATTCCTGAAACTGATTGTAAAATTTTCAAAGATTCCAGAGATTTAGAAGATTCTAAAGATTCCGCAGAATCTAGAAATTTAGATTTTCCAAAGGTTCCAAATATCCTCGAGATTTCAAAGATTGTAGAAATTCCCAAATGGCAGAACTTCTGAAGAAAAATTCTAATAAATTCTAGAAATTCTGAAGATTATGAAGACTCTAAATTATCTCCAGGTACTAAAAATTATAGAGATTCCTGAGATTCTAACGATACTAAAGTTCTGGAACTTTAGAAATTCTACAGATTCTAGGATTTATAGAGTTTCTACAAATTTTAAAGTTTCTAAAGATTCTAAAAATTTTTAGAAACTTTAAAAATTTTGAGGATTCTAAGGAGTCTAAAAATTCTAAACTTCTAGTTTTAAAATTCATGAAAATTTCAGCGGTTGCAAAGAATTCTCAGAAAAATACAGAAATTCTACAGATTCTAAATATTCCAAAGATTTCCAGAATTCCACAAATTTTTGGAATTTAGGGATTTACTGTTCCAAAAATTTCAAGTATTTCTGAAACTGATTCTACATATTTCAAAGATTCCATTATTAAAATTTCAGAGAATGCGAAGAATTCAAAAAAATCCAGGAATTCCAGAGATTCTAAATATTCCCAAAAATTTCCAAAATTCCTGAAACTGATTGTAAAATTTTTAAAGATTCCAGAGATTTGGAAGATTCTAAAGATTCCACAGAATCTAGAAATTTAGATTTTCCAAAGGTTCCAAATATCCTCGAGATTTCAGAGATTGTAGAAATTCCCAAATGGCAGAACTTCTGAAGAAAAATTCTAATAAATTCTAGAAATTCTGACGATTATGAAGACTCTAAATTATCTACAGTTTCTAAAAATTCTAAAGAATCAAGAATTTCTAACGATTCTAAAATTCTGGAGTTTTAGAAATTCTAGAGATTCTAGGGTTTCTACAAATTTTAAATTTTCTAAAGATTTTAAAAATCTTGAGGATCCTAAGGAGTCTAAAGATTCTAAACTTTCTATTTTAAAATTCATGAAAATTTCAGAGGTCTCAAAAATATACAAAAATTCTACAGATTCTAAATATTCCAAAGATTTCCAGAATTCCACAAATTTTTGGAATTTAGGGATTTACTATTCCAAAAATTTCAAGTATAATTGGTTCTAAATATTTCAATGATTCCAGAGGTTTTAAAGATTTCAAAGATTCCATAGAATCTAAAGTTTCAGAATTTCCAGAAATTCTAAAGAGATTCCCAAATGAAGAAAAAGTAAATTTTTAAGAGTTTTCGGGATTCTAAAAAAAGAATTTGAATATTCTAAAGTTTCTAAAGACTCCAAACCTTCTACAGTGCGTTGTTTAAAAATTCAATTACTTTGTACTCTCAAAACTACCAAGGATTCCAGAGATCTTAAATATTCAAACATTTTCAGAATGGATTCCGGAAATTGGTTGCAAAAATTTCAAAGATTCCACAGGTTTCAAAGATTTTAAAGATATAATCTAGAGATTCACAGTTTCCAGAAATTATAGAGATTGCCAAATGGTCGAAATTCTGAAAAAGATTCTAGAGATTCTAGAAATTCTGAATATTCTAATAATCTAAACATTCTAGGAATTTTAGGG